CTATGACCTAGGAGACTATCAGCGAAAAATAACTTCAATGGGCTAGCTAATCTGTCCTAATCGCACATCAACAACTACAATAACAGAACACCGTCAGGCCGCAAAGACAGAAGAGAAGACTGGACGTTTGTAAGAGAGCTTTTACTGTCTCAAAACAACAGTCAAAAAAGGCTGACAGAGCTTGCGATATATATGTTTGAAATGACCTTGGGAAGCACTAATGTCATTAATGAATTAAGACAATGAACAACCAATAGGATTCCAAAGGTCATAAGTAGGGTGAGAGAAAATCAGTAAGTGAGGAGAGAGAAATACAAACAGATATGTAAAAATGACATTTAGGAAATTAGATCTGTATATATCAATTTACAACACTAAAAAGACCAGAACTTTCACATGACGGTTAATAAACAGATCACTCAGATTAAGATAAAAGTAGATCAAGAATTCCTCCACAATAAGCATTAAAAAACTCATGATAACTTTATTCTGAACATGTTTATATACAATACAGAATTTTCAACTTGTCTCTACCTACTCCCTATACAGAACCTTCAAGTAGAACAGTGATCTATAGTACATGATTCAATGGAATTTTCTTCTGTTTGCAACATGTTCAGGCCCCCTACGTATCTGTCCCTTCAGAACAGATCAAGATGTATGTTGAAAACCATTCCAAAGTGCACGGGAGCACAAACCGTCCTTCAGGGACGTAAATAGGGGGTTAAAACAAAGTATAACTGGGTAAATTTGACGCATTGAGCTCTGTGTTAAATTAGATTGCCAATGATTTAGGCGGACAGCCAGACTGGTATTACCAGGTAATATGAAGACTATGAGTTCCCTTTAGGGCTACTTAATTCTACTTCATTTGTGACACAAATTGCCTTTCCCTGACTTCTCTTCTGTGACTAGATTTCAGAAGTGCTTCTTCATCCTCTAAAAGCTCACCTAACTACTAACAATCTGAGGGAGCCTAAAACTTCCGGATGGGACAAATGCTTATTTTTGACTGGCTAGAAGGACTTCCTCGCAATTGTTCCTGACTTTATATTCCCTCTACTACTCCGTAAAAATAGTAGTGGTTGACTTAGAGTAAGTGCAACAACTCTGCAGAGAACACACTGAATAATAATACATACGTGAACATGTACCTGTATGGTTGAGTAAAGGAGTAACCAAGTGTGTAAATAGTGCAGTCTTAGCCCACCTGGTAGACACTGGACACCAGATAAAACTTGACCAGGCGTTCTCAGTTATTTACCATGTTCCTAGTAATTTATCTAGAGGAGCTCGACTGCGTCTTCTATCAGTAGCTGAAGCGGTGGCAATTAATACCAGAAGACCATCTCTTTGGATACAGAAGAAGTATGTTCAACCATTATGGTTACCTTGGCCTACAATAAAGCCAACAAATCCTCCATTAACACTATAAATTCCTTTCACAATTTTCTTTTCTTCTTCTTCTATTCCTCTGTTTCATTGACAATCGTTCATTTTCGACCTTTATGATTTCATGACCTTTCTTATGATTTTATTACCTTGCTATCGTATTTACAAAATCCTATTCATTCCACTTCATTATTATTATTTGACAATCATTCACCAATAGTGCATGTAATTTTACACCATATCATAGTTATTATTTTACAATCATTCTTACTGTCGTTATTTTCAGCCTTGAACTTATGTCTAGTCCGCCCCATTCGTTGGTCTATTTTCATATTGTCTCACACACCCTGATTACACACACTCTCGAAACCTGTATTTCTGTTGACTATATTTATATATATACACACATCATTAAATTAAATTACTTCATCTGATTATGTCCCATGTTCTCATTGACCATGCATATTAAAAAACTATATGACTATTGTTCCATCCCATCTTATATTTGTTCCACAATACACTATCTGATATGATTCTAATCTGCCTTTACTGGCTATTGTATGCTTAAATTAATGGATTTATAAATGTAGAGCCTGAAGAAGAATTTATTGAAAACAGTTGTTCGCTCTAAATATTTTGTTCTGAATAATACATACATCAAAATAACTGGCTTTAATAAGTTCTAACCAAAAATGAATCTTGACTTCATACTGTATTAGACTACACAAATAAGAACTAGTCATTATTAATAACACCATGTATGTCGAATAATTAAACAAAAGCCTGGGACGAGCGTGATACTTGTGAAAAAGTTCTTAATTTTAGTTTACCGGTTTCATAAGTAGTAGCTGGAGGCCCTAAACTCCCGTAGAGTAAGACACAGTAAATAGCAAGGAAACATATCCTTCCATATGACGACACGATTCCGACTTGTGAACTGTAAGTCCAGAAGTGTAGATTCAATGTGTATCCACACAAAAGTAAACACATACCTAGATTTCGGCAGCAACATGATTGATAAAACCGTCGATACAATTACGACAACAAATGCACACCATTTTTCAAAACCTAACATAACAGTACAAATGATTTAAGTTGGCAAATATTACTCATGAATAACATCATGAATAACGACTTATATACACACCCAAAGGTTGAAGAGTTAGAAACAGTAGACTTGTGACTGTGTCCAACGGGTGCACAAATAAACTAAGTAAAACACCATTGATACCCTTAAGCCTATTGCTTAATATCTCGTCAGTTTTGAGCATGAGTACTACACGACTAATGGGAAAATAACACCTTGGATGTTGTCTCCAATAAGTTAGTTAGGCTAAGCCACACGTAGAAGGGAAATTTTAGAGTAGAAAAGGTTGAACAATAAGTTTCCTAACTTGCCACTGTGATCGTACGACTTGTTCATTATTGTACTAAGTGCTCAATTTTTAAGTAGTGGGTTTAAATTCCACCTCATCAAATCAAGTTTAGAAAGCAACATAATAACACAGCAGTCTACATGAAACTACCCATCATATGCTTACAGGAAACTAATGATGAAATATTCGGCTAATAATATTATTGTTCCCTTAGGTTCCGAGTGCAACATAGGGCTTCAATAACACATCTACACTTTGTTCTGTTTTCTGCTGTCCTCTTCAGTTGGGTCCACAATGGACCAAACTCTCTTATCTCTTCCTCACACTATGTCCTTCATGTCAACCTAGGACGACCCACTCGTCGCTTCCCGTTTGGAATTCACTCGAGGGTCTGGCGTGCGATGTCATTCGGTGACCTCCTCAATGTGTGCTCGATCCATCTTCACTTTCTCCTACATATTTGTTGGGCAATCGGCTCTTGGTTGGTTTGTTCCTATAGTTTCTTGTTGCTAATTCTTTCTGGCTGGCCATTTGATCTTCAGTTTGGAGCGAAGGCAGCTGCTGATAAAAATCTGCAACCTGTTGGAAATCCTTTTCATGACAAGCCAAGTTTCTGACCCCTATAGAAGAACCGACTTCACATTGGTGTTGAAAATGCGAATCTTGTTCCTTATGCTGAGTGAGTGTGGAAGTTTTCCAAACTGGTTACAGACTGATGAAGGCGTATCTCGCCTTTCCGATTCTGACCAGCTTTGACATCTTCATCCGTTCCGCCTGTAGTTGAAACGATGCTTCCTAGGTAAGTTAAGGAAGTAACCTCTGTCAAATCTGTTGATGGTGATCAGTGCTGGTTGTTGTTGCTGTTGACTAGTTGGTTATCTTCATCACCTCCGTCTTCCCTGTGTTCACCTGCAGTCCTGTTTTCGCCGCCTGCCTCTTCTGTCAGTTTGTTGGTTTTCGCTTGCAAGTCTTCGAGTTTGTGTGACATTAGACATAAATCATCCAAGCGCGAAATCCAGATCTTCTAGAGTCTTCTTATTAGTCGTCCAGCCCATTCCTGTTTCCTCACTTCCTACAGTCTGATGCATAATCCAGTCCACCACAATTAAGAATATCATCGGTGACAATAGGCAGCCATGTCTAACTCCAGTATGCACTTCGAACGCCTCGCTGAGTTTTCCGTTGTGGATCACTTGACATGTGGCATTGTCATATGGCTGTTGAATGAGGCTGACAAAGACGAGGTAGCTCTTCTCCCAATCAGCAGGTACCTTTCCTTCTCTCCAAACGTCTTGCAGTAATGGAGTGAGAACATCTGCCGTAATCTCTGGGGCCGTCTTCAGTGCTTCGGGGTGGGGGAATTCCGTCTGGTCCTGCTGCCTTCCTGGACTTCAGTAGCTTGATCACATTCACGATTTATTCTTTCGTTAGAGGATTGGTGTCCACTGGCAGTTCTGTTGGTGGTATTTCTGGGCAAGTTGCCAGTGGTAGTCGATTCAAGAGTCCTTTAAAGTGATCAACCCATTGTTTGATTTGTTTCTCCTCCTTGGTGATCAGGTTCCCTTGATGAGCATCTTTTATTGGTTTCATCATCTAGGTTGATCTCTTCCCGGATAGAGACTTGGTTATCTGATATAGTGTCCTGATGTCTCTTTCGCCTGCGACCTGCCTGTTCTGCTTCAGTCTTCTGTGTGTCGTAGATTTGTCTTTTGTTTTTTCTAGCACTCTTTTTCACTTCTCTATTCAGTGTAGTGTACATTGAACTCAGCTTCTCCTTCTGTTGTCCATCTTTGCATTGAGTCATCTTTTCTTTCACCATCCTCCTATCCTCTCGTCCGGTGAGAGTCATTCCTTGTCGTGTGTCTTCCTTCTTCCTAGAACAGTTGTACACGTTCCTTAAATATTGTCTTCTAATCGGAACGATACTCAGTCGGCTAATGAGTTATGTGCTATCGTGGATAGTGAAAAATATCTCCAGTCACGATACTGATACGAACCAGTTTAGTAAACTGGTTATCATCATACTTACTGCTCACAAACGGAATGTTGTAAATACGATGTAACCTAAAGACGATTATCAAACTACAAATCATATGTTAATTTGCAAATTAATTCGCGATTTGCAATTTACTCAGTTCTAAGGGAAATTTCACCACGACTTTCCCCCTACACCGAGATTATTCAGATCAGATTATGTAATCTGCAGTGAAAAATACTAATAATTTGTATACCATGACATAACCCAGGTGAACGACACCAATGACAAAAAGACAAACAAGTATGAAAATTTGATAGAACATTCAATGTTTTAAACTCTTTCTTAGAGTCAGTTACATAATGACAATAATATAGTGGAAACAAGATAACCCGGGTACCATGAAGTATTTAAATGCTTCAAATTTATCTGTATGAATGAATGATGGACAAAAGTTAACCGAACAGTTTTAAAAATTCAAATCTTTCCAGAAATGTATGGAAAACTGAATTAATTGTATGAATTTAGTATTTCTGGAATTAAACGTTCATAAATTTTATAATCGATATCCATGAATATGCAAAAGATGACACGTTCAATCTGAAATTCAATTTTAAAAATTAAAAAAAAAACAAACGAACGAAAATTAATTGTAACCTTTAAAAATCAATGGTATTATTATAAGCAACTTGTGATGACGTGGCATGTGCTACTGTCTGTTGTCTGTCTGTTTCGACATAGAACTTTGCACATATGTGCGGCAGTTCAAGTCGCCACACTCCATGTAGCACACAAAGGAAGAGAAGAAAGTAGGGGAAATGCATAATATAGACAGTAAAGAGAGGTGTGTGTGAGACAAAGGAATAGTAATAACGAAGAACAAAACAGTTTCATTGGAAATCATAAGTCACAAGGAGTGGATGCATCTGCGCCACTGAGAACGATTTTGAGCCATGTCACCAATTGTTTCCAACCATTGGTTTTTACCGTCCCGAGGACCTCAACCAGGAAGTCTACATCTTCCTACGTGGCTTAGACTAACTGTTGTAGATTTCATTGACTGGTGCCATGTGTTCGTTTGACCGCCGCTAGCTCTTTTCCAGCCTGGCCATATATCAGCTAACATTGACCATTGTCGAGGAAGGCGATGACTAGGCATACGTAGCACATGTCCTAACCATCTCAGACGATATAATTTCACAGCCTCGTCAATTGATTTCCCCTCCTTACCTAGCACTCGACGCCTAACCTCAATATTGCTCACCTTATTATATCGCTTAACGCGGGAGATAGAACGCCGACACCTATGATCGAAGACAGCTAATCTTTTCATGTCTTCTGCTCTCAATGGCCAGGTCTCACAGCCATAATGGAGGACGGAGCGGACTGTTGAGCAGTACACACGCCCTTTGGTCGATAGTCGGATATCGTGTCTACGCCAGAGACGGTGTAAACTGGCATATGCGAAACTAGCCCTCTGTATTCGTGCTGAGATTTCGTCGGAGATCAACCCGTTGGGGCTGATGGTACTTCCCAAGTAATTGAAGCGGTCAACGTGCTCTACCACTTCACTTCCTATTTCTAATCTAGGGGTCGGTGAAGTCCAATCCTGCAACATCATCTTACATTTTACAGGGGCGAATCGCATGTGCTACTGATAAGATTTAGCAGTAGTATATAAAAGACGTTCATCAGCATGAAAACACCAAATAGCGGGGAGATAGATTTGACGTCAGAGATAGCAAATGATACAGCTTTGCGGAGAAACATAAGAGACGTGAAGGACAGAAGTAACACAGCAGGGAAGATCTGTGCAAATGGTGATTTGAAGATAAGGTGTACATAATTCCCCTCTATATAGAGATACCATATTACAATGCTCGCCAACCACACATGTGGTCTGGAGTTTGATCCCCGGCCAGCGTATTCTTAGATCCCCTTAAGCCGGTAAGGAGGGGAGGTTGGGTATGAGGCTAGCAACCCCACCCCGTAAAAATAGAAAAAATCTTTACCAGGGATGTGTGAGATCATGAAATCATACTCCTTCAGGCTCAACATCCACCCACGTAAGTCTCTTTATGTACTAGTGATAAATCTTATCAGTAGCATATGCCACAATGCTTTTGTTATACGAAACTATTTTTTTTATTTTAGAGAACTTTGATTTCGCTTCGCTTTACGCCTATTATTAACAACAAAGAAGATTCATTTATTACCTACTCTTTTAGCTTTCATAATATCTCAAAAATGAAATCATAAAGCGATCTTAGAAGACACTACTAATCCAATACACAAAGTATTCTACAAATGAAATAAAGCAAGCTCCATTACAAAAAGCTCTCTGTTCCTTTTTAAGAACTCATACGGTATGTCAATCCTGCTTATAAGTTCAAGCAACCAATCTTCAACTTCTTACATTCACTTAGACTACTATTACAAGAAGATCATTTGAATCAGATGCAATCATTCACACAAACAGACAAAATCATTCAACTATGGGAATGTAAACGCATAAAACAATTTTAACTGATGTAAACATTTTCCTTCTTTCAAATCCTATAAAACTATAGAACACTGTTAAGTTTCACAACATCTTTTCATTGCATATAAATACAAACACCAATTACAATTTGTATTGCGTTAGCAAAAAGGTAAGAAGAAATCAATAAATATGAACAGGTCCATTGTGATAGATTGTTTCTTACATCGGCAATAGATCCTAAGTATAAAGGTTTTATATTATTAAAAGAATCAGTTCCTGTGATGAATTTAAATAAGGCATTTAGAAGACAAATTTCGTGACATGATATCACTTCGTAGTTTCTCTATAATCGCTTTACAATTAACATGGTTCACAATATAATATAATAAAACAAAATGCATGACAATTACTCAGTTATATAAAACAAAATTACATACTAATGACCGATCATACTTATATAGGTCAAGTAGTCCACGGTAGGAGAAAGTTGAAGTCTATTTTATTTTATTATATTATATTGTGAACCATGTTAATTGTAAAGCGATTATAGAGAAACTACGGAATTATATCATGTCACGAAATTTGTCTTCTAAGTGCCTTATTTAAATTTACCAAGGGGACTAACTGTCTTAATTTTCTTAAACGAAGGCTCCCTAAAGATACTATAAGATGTGTTTTTCAGCTGGTGAAATGAGGTATTTGCAGTCAGGTCATTCAGCTGATAGAATCAGTGTTCGACTATGAGTGACCTTACTCCAGTTGATGAAGACAAGAAGAGCTGGTTCAAATCTAAGACCTATACTTTCGATGATCAACTCGCCCCAACATAAGGTTGCCCGTTGGCTTGCAGAGAATTTGGAACCCATTCGTCAACGGCCAGCCGTGCACACCATGAAAGACTCATTTCATTTCACCGAAAGTGTGAATCACATGAACATTTCAAATAAGTTCATGGCGTCATTTGATGCAACCTCCTTGTTCACAACGATCCCAATCAATGAAACCATTGAGATCATTTGTCAATAGTCTGACCTTCTCCCACTACCAGAATCAGAATTCAAACGCCTACTGCTAATGTGTACTATGTGTGTACAATTCCAGTTTGACAACACTCTCTACCGACAAATAGATGGTGTAGCTATGGGCAGTCCACTTAGCCCTGTTTTAGCAGATATCTTCATGCCAAACCTTGAGAAAACAAAGTTGAAGCATGCAATTGACGAAACATTATATGTGATACACATTTGTAGTGTGCAACAATGAAAGTCATGCTTCCTACCTACTCAGATTATTCAACGACGCACATACAAATATTTAATTTACTATGGAACATGAAAATGATGGAAAGTTCCATTTCCTTGACATTGCCATACAACGCCTAAAAGATAGTAGTCTCCAGAGGTCAATTTACCGACAGCTGACATGGAATGGACAATACTTACATTTTAATAGTTTTTGTCCAAATAGCTATAAACGAGCACTAGTCAAGACTCTGTACTATAGAGCGAGGAGAATATGCTCTGCAGAGAAACTAGAGCAGGAATTTACGATTCTCGAAAAGGTGTTGAAAAACAACGGTTATCCTCAAAGATTCATTAACAAACATAGAAGATGCAAAGGTGAAAACATTGCAGCAATGGTCAACAGAAGACTGAGTACGTCACTAGCGAGAGCCTATCCTTCAGCTAAGTTGGTTCCCGTCCATCGAACAACATGCTCTTTGGTGCAGTCAAAAGTCGACAGATACCCTTCTCATGCTAACTCCAACTGTGTATACAAATTTACGTGTATCTGTGGGAGCAGTTACATTGGGAGAATAGAAAGAAGGGGACACCTCCGATTTTCTGAACATGTGCCGAAAAGCCTACGTCTCAAGGGAACAAACTCTTATAATAGCGCTATTACCAGACATCTCCTCGATATGGGTCATGAGGTGGAAATCGCGAAATCCTTTAAAATTATCAATAGACAAAGGAGCTCGATTCTCCTCAAGTTTGCCGAAGCAATTTCTATCAAACGCTTGAAACCAGATTTATGTGTTCAGAAAGAAGCAGTTATTAGTCTTTCCTTGCCACCTGGTAACTGGATGTCTTTATTCTCTCATTTGATTACGTAATCTTTGGCTTTAACCTCACCTCTTTGATACAGTGTAATTTTGCTTGTCTCTTGTTTCTATGATTTGAGTTGAACTCAGTACATTGTTACCTAATTTATTAGTCACTCAGCATCTTACGCATCTCTCGTCTTTATTACGTAACTCCTTTACCATTGTATGCATACATTTATTTTGTTTAAACTTGAACTGCCTGTGTAAAAACTATATAAGCGCAATTTTCTGAGCACTGTTCACTAATTGTCAACTGACATCATGAAAAATTTGCAAGTATGTTAAAACTTTTCTGTACATAAACTATGGAATATGTTGTGTAGCCGAACCTGTAGAAACCGATGGGTCCTCCATATGTACGTGTGTCCACACATACATGTAAATTGATAAACAAAATGGGATATGACACTGTCGTTTGGATACTGTGAGGGTTTACAGGACAGGATAGTTCTCGTTTTCTGTATGAAGATTAGTTTAGCTGCATAGTAAGTTCTATTCATTGCAGCCTTGAGTCTTTGTTTAGTGACCAGACTTTGTTGATTACCCCTGAACGGCAAGGATATATAAACATCCTTTTTGGGAGCTGATTGGATTTGTAGAGCTTTTTGGTTGACACTTCCGTAACGCCTAATAAATCTCAGCGGGTAATTGTTATCTAACAATATTTCAATGAGGTGTCGTCTTTCTTCTTCAATTGTGTCGGCAGTACATATACGGTGAATGCGTTTGAACAAACACTTAACCAACACCTTTTTATACTGTAGTGGACAGAAACTATGATAATTTAGATACTGTCCCACCCACGTGGACTGTATATATACATGTCGCATGTTGAGAACCTAGTTTTCTGGATAACCATCAGCTAATAAAACTGAATGTATGTGTCCAAGTTCATCCACCAATGTGTCGCTCGTGCATATTTTGTGGACGCTTGAAAACAAACATTTCACTAGGGAACGTTTATACTGGACAGGAACAAAACTGGTGAAATGAAGATATTGTCCACTCCAT